GTCAACCCCTCAGTGGTTTGAGAAAAACCGTTTTGTCCCATTTTAGAAAAAAGAAACCCTCACTCTCATATTTAATTCCGATTGCAGAGCAGACTGAACTACCAGCCGAACCCAGTCGTATCCAAATGCAAGGAAGTTACATTAACCAAGATAATCGGCCTAATTCAAACAATCTTGTATTCTGGCTCCATGCCGTTGCGCCTTGACAAACAAAATCCATAAATATCCAATCCACTGATAGCCGGAAAGACGTGATCAAAACTGTGGATGCTGAAACAAAATCTAATGTAATCTACCTGAACTTCTCGAAAGTGATTCATTGTTTGGATCGCTAGAAATGAATAGATGTGGCACCGAAGACAGTTGCGAGTAACAACCCAAAATTCCTATGTGAAGGAACTCGGAAAGTAAGGGTCTATCAAGACTAAATCAACTAGTGTGAGATCCGGACAGCCAAGGATCTTAGAGGATGATTGGAGCTATCGGGCTACATATATTCGTGGGCAGTGGGGTCAGACGGATGAAGGCATTAGATGCTGTATTGAGAAATAGTTCTATTAACAATTGGGTTAGTAGTCAGCATGAATCAAACAGAACGTACAATCAGTATTAGCGCAAATGATAAAAAGGAGCAGTGAAACAGTAGGGCTTTCTAGAACCAATAGGGAATAAGTAACAAGTGATATACAAACGCGCGAATACGGGCAGTCAGACAGCGCAACTTGGCCGTATGTAGAGATGACGGCGCAGTACGAACGGAAGGTAAGAGAAGCTGTCTGGCAACCGGATATCCGGTGAATTTGGCCCAAAGTAAACGTACCTGCAGCCTTGAGCTGGCAGTGCGATGCAGCAGCACGGGCCGCGTGTCAAAGCAGAATGAGCGCTTAGGCCCGTTTGAAACAAAGACTGTCTGGTAAGATGCTGGCGTGGAATTCTAGTTGGAGTGGTTGGTAGCACTCTCATCTTCCATCCGAACGGTTCAGAGTTTGACCCCTGGTCGCCGCGCTTTTCCGTCGGATCACTGACAAATAGTCAAGGTTAATAGGAAATTGTAAATGAGGATGTGCAGGCAATAAAGTAGAGAGTAAGCAGACGTTAGAGGAAGTTAAAACCAGACAATGAATATCAAGAGAGCAAAGTGGCCTTATAATAAACAGGCACAATTTACGCTACTTATGAGTAATCAAAACATCAAAGAAAATAACCCCGTTGATTCGCAGGAGGAATCAACCGCTAAAATGCTGGTTCCGGCTCCTTGACAATTTGTAATTTTTAACAATTACCCCACGAATGTATTCATCCGAAATCTCAACTGTCTGGAAATTTATTGCACTTCTGACTCCCATTTGTAGGTAGAATGTATTTAGAAAACGAACATTGGTAATCTTAAGTTAGCAATCATTAATTTACTCACATGCAATGTGTTAACAATGCGCTACCATGAAAATTATTCATATTCCACTAGAGCTCACGTTCCACCATCCAGTTTTGACCAAAATGACACCAGCATGCTTACACAATAGAACCTAATCTTTTTAATCCGACACAACTGATGACACACGGAATTTCGTACTTCTCCATAGAGCGTTTGGGAAATTTCGGACCAAAAGTTTGTTGCATTTTAACTGCATACATTCGTTCTCATAGAGAATATACCACTCAACTTTGGCGGAAATCGTCAGAAATGATCAATCATCACTCGACGTGGCTGGGTTGTGAATATCAGACGTCTAAATTATAAAAGGGAAGTATAAATCGCTGGTCCGTTATCTGTAAAGTGCTAACTACTCTTAAGTGTAGGTCTTAGCTGTGCTGAGGATATTGTGCCACACGTATCTCTGAACTTGCCACATTCAGCCCCCTGGTTAGACTGAGGAGAGCTTTTGCAACAGGTATACCAACTTTTCACTCATTTCATTTCCATTATCTTCATCAAACATTCCTAATAAGCAGCTGAAGCCCATTTTGTACACTTATCGTTAGTGTGAAATATTAATTCAGTTCAGCTGATCTAGTTCCTTGTTTTTGTGACTATCTCAACCCCCCCCCCCCCCCCTGTTTATGCTTCTGTATCCACTTTTTACTATCGGGAATAATCAGCTCATGGATGTAAAAAAATTGCAGTTAATATTTTAAACGGAACACTACTTCCAAAGTTGCTGAAAAGTTCTTGGGAGCCCACGACAGATTTTATTTGTCAGAGATTATCAGGTTGATCTAGTTTCATATTTTCCGCCCAGTTCATGCTTTAATTGTTTTGACATCAAAGAAGATAAGTTGCGAGCAGCTGCGAAGTTCGTAGTATATAAAGCGCATGAAAGACGTACATATATTTCTGTCGTTCAAACAAGCCTTCTTTTGTCCCAGCGTGACCATCATTGTTCATCCGTAATGAAAGTCTCGAATAGATCAATCTCAATAGCACATCTGGGTTTATTAGCTTCATTTAGCTATTTCAAAAAATGATTGGAACAAATATCGATTCTGGAAGCCAAACTTGTGTCTAGTAAAACTTTGCACATGCCTAACTTAGGCATTTTTGTTGAAGAAAAATTAGCACATGGTTTGACCAAGGCAACAAGACCCTAACATTCCCATTCCTGCATATCCTTTCACATACTGTTTGATTACCAGTTTTTATGCCTGTAGCATCAAGAGAACAGTATCTTTTGCTCATATAAATGTTTGTGTCCACCTCTAGGTGCAGTGATAGAACTGACTGCCCAAGCATTTAGAGCCTGTTGGTGAGGTTGTTTCAACAAGGAGTCATCTGCCTCAGACCATAATGGTGTTACACCTAAACCACTTCTGAAGAAGGGACATGTTTCACTTACGAAAACTGAAATTTAAACACCAATACCTGTTCGAAGTAGATGGCTAGGAGCGGCATCCTCCTAACGCAAGTGAGGGAAAGAAATTATGGCAATAAAGCTGTTCGATGTTTCGGAGATCCTATCTCGACACCGGATAATGCAAAACGAGGTTTCAACTGAAGTATGCTTCATTAAAACAGGGATATCTTTTGTGCAAATCCGTTGAGGATAGACCCAAAATCCGTCTTCTATACGAGATAACTCCGAAATCCATCGTTTCCTCTAATAAGCTAACTGTCATATGCGTATTCAAGCAGCGCTCTTTATAGTAGGTCCCCTGAAAAAGAAGCCACATTATATTTTGCGGGGTGCGAAACACATTTTCTTGACTATCGTCGATTTGTGAATAACAGTGAAAACCAGTGTAGGAATCGTGGACCGAGAATATCATCTTATTTGGACAAACATTTTTGCAGAATTGGATGTATCTACGTGGAATATAGTTGGCGGACTACAAGTAAACGATCAGCACAACCTGAATTGTGAAACTTAAAATCCAAGTGAAAAACAATTATTCTCTGGCGAATTCTAAATTCGTTCCAATCCTCTGTGGAAACCCAGCAAATCAAATCATACCTATCGTCAACAACGATGGAAGAATCCCCCGACGGCACTTACCGAAAAGAATGCGTATTGGTAATACCGTCAATGATACTGCTGCGTGAGTACGCAAACTGGGGACAATACCGCTGCGTGACAATAAAATATGGGCAGCTCTCGGAAGGATGAGGATTCAAAATTCACTTGGCCGAGTGGGAGCACTTCAGTCTCGACCAGCTCCGTAGTTTGACACTTTTAGTGGGTGATAATTTCACTACATTATTCTCATTCTCATTATGAATCTGGTGTTATCTTAGTTTTATGTCACGGCTTGTACGGATCATACGTAGAAACATCTCATATCGAAAGGCTTATGCGAATGAGGGAACTTGGTGCAGCAGAACAGAACTCAATCGTGTATTTTCAAAACGACGGATTTCTCATGGACTTTATCAGATACTTGAGGAAAAAGACTCATCTAGAACAACATGAACACCTGAATAAATCAATTAAATTGGTACTTCCTTTGTAAATCAATAATCTATCTGAATTCACAGCCAGGCTACTAGGACTAAAAGAAATACCAGTAGCCCACAAACTGGTCGTTAGATTGAAGAAACTGATCTCAAGTTTGAAGAACGAAACCGATGGTTGCGCGAGAAAGAACCACGCATACCGAATCAACTGCACGGAGTAGAAGAAAACCTCTTAGACAGCTAAAGAATACAACGCAGCTATCAAAAGACATGAACGGTGATCTCTTATCATCATACACAAAAATCAGAGTGGCACGAGTTGAATCTAGAAAAATTGAAGATCGTGACAGGCGAAAATACAACACACGGGACCAAAGTATGGTTCTCTGAAAAAGATTAGATCATGCCAGGATAAAGGGACCACCAACTCAATGGTAACACTGGGTCAGCCTCACCCACTGGGTCAAAAGACCAAATGATAGGGATCACTGTCAAGATAGAAGAACTAAGATCTCGTTGGAGGGCGCGGAGTGGTCAAGTCTAAAGTATATTCATCAGATGACAGGTTAACCGACGAGCCAATAAGGATGCCCATCCAAACGACGATTAGGGTTGACGCGCAGCAACTATGCACTTCTAACCTTTACACACTTTCATTCACAACGCAATGGTGATGTCTAATAGACTGCCAACGAAGCGTCTGCAACCACATTGCTCAGCTCATTGAACCAGCCAATGTCCAGTGGCCTTAAATTCCCAATGTTAGCACTTTTTCTACTGCAATTACCATAGGTGTGCCATTTTCCTTTTGTTCTGCTTGATGCCCGCACCAGAACACACCAAATCAATAATGACGTGCAATACGGGGCCCTGATAAAGTTCAACGGGCTTGCTGGTCAAATGATCAATACCCACTTAACTGAGATTAGGGGAAAAACAAAAAGCTGTTGAAGGTTCTTATGTTTAGTGGGCGACAATATGCTGGCTAGCAGATCGATAAGCCATTTGCAAGATGTCATTTACCTTTCCCCTTGTTGGGCAGATTTCAGGAGACCACTGGGAATATTAGGCTCAAGGTATGTGCATGTGATACTAAATCATTACCTGTTTCTTTTCCCGTTGGAAACATCCTTCGACAGAATTGGATAAGCAAAAAAGACGGTACGTAATCCGTTGATGAATTTCAAATGATCTTAGCAAAAAATGTCAACCATGGTTATTACAAAGTAGAAGTGATAAGACGACAGATGGAAAAATCAAAGAGAGGTAATACAAACAATTTGAGGTGGAAAAGTTATTTTTCGTTGGGATCCAAAATGTGAACGTGCACTCGGTGCCAGCTATTGGTCACCAGACCACGGACGTTTAGAGATCCTTCGCATCTTTCCGGTTGGACATTATTTGATGAATCCCGAGCACAACAGATAATTTCAACTTCTTTCGCGTCAGCTGTAAACATAAACGTGTAGAACATATAAGAAATAACACAAGGATGACTTGACTGAAAATTCGACTCGGTAAGCTGAATTCGAACATGAGTAGTCTATCCTCATGAAAAAAGAGATTTAAGCAAGGATGTCCATAGTTTTTTGGATGTACTGGCAACGAACGAACTTGGAATGGTTTGCCAATTACGTACGGAGTAGATATGAAGTAAAACAGACTCGGCGAAGTTGCATTAACAACCACATCATACACAGGTGACTGCACACCACAATGTTCTGGCAGGAGGGCAAAACGTAGGAGACAAAACAGAATTGTGACCTCAATCACGTGGACTTTATTTTCATTAGTGAGTAACAGATTCCATTGAAGTCGAACCCGGTGCTTAGAATAGGATGGCTTTGGTCAGATGGTATAAAAAAAAAGCTGGAAATTTATTAGTAGACACAACACAATTATGGGGCTACCGTAAGGTGTCGCATCCCCGAAAGAATTTCGTGATATTTCTCTAGTGGCTTCGCTTTCAGTTCTCTGAGTACTGGTGTGTTAAATGTTTATTAAACACATGGACGACGTCGATAATTTCCGGTTCTCGTTCAAGCACAACTGTTAGCTTAGTTATTGTGTCATGCATGTTTGCATCTCTGTACTACTTAGTGGCCCATTTGGATGGAACTCATACGTAGTTAGACAGTTTAACACCTTCAGGAGATAGAATTGAAGCCAGTTTCTGAAGGTGTAAGTGATGTGAATCGGTGAGATTTCTGGTCGAAAAATCTCACATTTTCATTCATTCGGGGGAACAAGTAGCAATATCAAGCAATTCAATGTCTAGAGGAATGCATCTGTCATTAGCCGTTCAGAAATGCTCATTGCCCTATCTTATAAATGGAAAAGACACTTCACTACGGTGCTCCCCGAAATAACTCGCTTTTTATATAAATCTCCTCTGCACTAATTCCCTCTCTGATATATAGGTAGCGGGACTTTTTTGGTGACCAACGAAGATATAGATCTGGTGTGGATTTTAGGTGACTGGAGTTTCCGTCCAGATTGAGAGGAATCGAATATGAAGCCGTTTGAGCCCAATACACTTCTGTCTTTTTTGTAGCTTAGAAGTTCTATGTTTGTCTTTTGCGAACACATCTGGCGACCATGCCAGCAAACAGTAATCCCCTGTTAAGCTTGACATACTCGCGTTGATGTGCATAGTTTTACTACCTTAAAAATCGGGTGAGTTATTAACAGGGGTTCGTCTGCATCACACGAATCTTTTTACCCAGTCCTCTGCTCAGTTGAAACGAGTAAGCAGTGAAGTATGGGAACACTAAACAGAAAAATTCATCGGGTTTACAACTGTTGCCTGTCTGGATGAGGACACCCGGGCTCAACTCACGAATGTTTAAAGACACTGGCAGACATGGCTCAGTCATGCAGTCAATGGCACTCCCACATCGTAATTGCCGCCCTCAGTGAGTAGCTTCCCAGTTTCCCGTTTCCTCAGAAAAATCAAAAGGATCATTCTTGACTAAGTGATTACACCATTTCTTTTAATGTCTTGGGTGGTTGGAACTGTAATAGCCTGGATCAACCTATCCGCGGCACATGGTTTATAGCTGACAAAATGAACCGAGACGAACACCGTTTGACGGTGCCGATATATTTCTCTTGACCGTTTTTCCCAGAGATAAAGATTTTCTAAACGTGATAATGTGATAATGATAATAATCTTTCGCCTTAACACATGTTAGACAGCAGAGCACCATAATACCCGAAGAAAGCTCGAGAGCTGAGCTACTGCCAGGTTGCCCGAGTTCAGACAAAAGCAGTTGAGATGCAGAGGTTGGGTCCGAACTACCGACTTTCCTGTTGGTAGGCTTGCATCTTAACCACTAAAACATCTCAAGCCCTTCTACACTATACACCCAATATTATCTATTTCCGATCCTCACAATAGCCTCTTAAATGCGCATATTTCCGAATGCCAAATAAGGTGAACCGAAAAGTATCGTAAAAGCTCGGCTGTTTATTTTACTTTAGTCTGTTTAAAGTCACAAATCTTTTCACACTGAATTCTGTCAGGTGTTCAAAGGCAAAGACAAAGTCCATGCAGGACCTTGTAATTCACTTCTTGAAGCAATCACTGAAAGCTACTAGTTTAATAAACACACAAGAAAAAAATCACTATGCAGCTCCACGTCTTTCGGCTGTAAGATGATAACATAGGCACACAATGTCTTCACTGAGGGTAATTTCTAACAGGTCCCTCTAAAATCCAGCTTCACAGCAACATTCTGTTCAAAATTTTTTTTCAGCCAGCATGTTCATCGGTAGTTTGGTGCAATCATCAGTGACGGAAAACCGCATTTCAGACGCGGCTTGTTGTTGTTCCGTGCGAACTAGGTGATCAGGTTATCTTGGTAGCTGCATCTTCGTTTCCCTAGACCTATCCACTGACCAGCAACACTTTCGGACATACGAGGCAACATGTGTAGGTGCTTAGACGAGCTGTAGTCACATTAGGTAGTATTCGGCAGAGGATGACCTAAAGCATAGGGGTGAAATATTCTTGCGGAAATCTTGACTGCCTACTACTTGCACTCGCTAAAAAATAACATTGAGGCACCACTTTTTGCATGTCCCTCCAGAAAATGGGACTTGGATGTAGTGAAAACAGAAGGAATTTACTTCCGAAGACCTCTCATCATGCTCCCAGATGTGCATTCAGATCAACTGTGAGGTTGCCCGCGATTACTACTAGCCAAGTGTTCATAATAGGTTACCGAGGCGTTCGTTTGATACGATCTATCCACGAATTGGCTCTAGACTATAGGCTGCAGTTGAGTGGCACAGTGGGGTAACATGTAGTTAGTAGACACAAGGTATTGGAACATATGATAGGCAGACTTTTTGTCCTTGAGAGCCACTAATTTAATAGGACGGGTTGGCTGGCGAGACTAGTTTGCAGAAGACTCACCGTGATGCACACAAATAAAATGGTCAATCAGGTGTGCACTCGAATGCCATAGGGACTTGCGTTCAGTTTTATTTGAATATCATTGGTAAATAGCCAATATGTTTTTTTTATTTAGTAGTGCACACTGTTCCCGAAAAATTGCACGTGGGCCATTACTAGGAGTAGTTACAAGAACACGAGTGGGAAGTTAATACATGCAGGTGAACCTGTTTCTCGTCGTATGCTTTGCTCCGTCTCTCTACTGAAAGCCTGCTGTGAGCACGCACTTTTACACTGAAATAAATCAATGCTTCAGTAAGGTAGATCAGTCAAAGTTTATGTCCTTCACTTCGCCATACCGCTCAACCGCACTTTCTGACCTAGGGATAAACTGTGGAAATGCTAGAAACCGATGTGGTGTGAGACGCAGTGCGAACAGAAACGAATCAAAGTTTACGAATTGAGAAAGACTATTCATGAGGCTCCTGACGGTAGAGCTAGCGTTCGTTCGATCTGCTTTTGGAAGATAAAATAAGATTTTAGCAAATTTAAACTCATTTGCAAACTAATTTGGTTTTTCGAGAGACCCACCTGGAACCCAGCTGAATCTCTCCTTTGTGATGTTTGCAATGGTGTTTGCAAATGAGTGTACATTCGCTAATTTCCTGCAATTTGGTTCAAGTGAAGCATAAGACTAATTCAATTCAAGGTAATTCAAGGCTGACGGAACCTCGGGGACTGCGCCTACCTGATGAGCTCCAAGAAGGAGGAAACTGGTCGTGGGCTGTCGACAAATTTTCAGCAAACTTATGAGTAGTGCATTACAAAAATAACATCTCCGAAGGCATGTAATTAACCGCTGAACGACCGTCAGTCACGTCGATCGCCACTCCATGTCAAAAGTGTAGATGAGTTCTAATGGCAAACCAAGTGCCCGGCTTATGTCGGTTTTCCGTCCCAAATGCAATGCCGGAGGTATCTGGGTAGATCAATGTGGTTTAAGCTCATGGATGACCTGAGCTTGCTATGGAGGTGCGTCCTAATTCCAACAGTGACTTCATAAGATTAGCAAACACTGCCGAATCTTGAACTGACAAAATGGAAAAAAAACAATAAATTAACACAATTGACCAGTCCTTATGAATGCGGCAAAAATGAAAACAAGCTTAAGCACGTATGTAGATCAGTTAGTGATTCCGAAGAGGTTACACAAGCCGTATTCGTCAAGCTATTTAAAATCTATTAAGCTTACCTGGGATTGGAAGTTCTGTTTCCCAAAGTGTCCACGCCCACTGGCGATGAGTTCGATGTGCCAGAGCAAGATCTCCAGGGGGCAGGTCCTCCGGATCAACTCCCGTAGGAGGACTAACGGGCGCGAGCGTTGCATCGTGCCAAGTCTTCCCGCCGTCAGCAGAGACCCGCACGGAGAGAATGCCTCGACCCCCTCCACTGAATGCGTACCTAAAGGACAAATTCGAATGGCTAATGAGTTTTTCAAAACCGTTGTTTTTAGCTACAGAAATCAAGGGTAAAATAAATATAGTGACGGAAGTACAACAAAACCAAGGAAAATCGTACAAACTTTAACAATAATGACAAAAAAACTACAGCGCGAATTTACTGACCGGAAGGTTCATGGTTAAAACCCAACCTCTGCCTCCCGACTTCCCCTGTCTAGGCTTGGGCAACCTGGTAATATCCTAGCCCTCATGCTTCCTCCGGGTATTATGGCAGCTAGGCACCAGAAGGATGTTACAACTGAACGATTTTTTCGATGACCGATCGCTCAACGAAGCCTCTCAATTCACAAGACTTAAGGTCGCGAACCGTGAAAAGGAAGTGAACTCGAGATCCAAATTTTTTCATTTAGAAGTTTGGTTGCACGAAGCCGGTTTTAACGCACGTTCCTGTTCATGGAAGAAACGGTAAGCCCAATGATCACTAATGGATTTCCCGATCCATTTTTCATTTCACCGTCACCAAAACTAGAAAAATTTGCACCTGTCCTCTTCTATATTTAGATCAGTATGCTCGTGTCTACCTCTCTTTTGTAAGCATGCAGTTTTAGTTGAAGCACACAACAATGAAATTGCAAGGACTAACTTTGGTAGCAAAGGAACAGATGCTGTCTGGTAACGCTCGATTCTATTAAGTCAAGGCTCAGTAAGATGAACCTCTGTAACAAGATGCGCTGAAGTCTCTTGATAGAATGGAAAAGCTTGCGAATTGTTCAATGGATATTTCGACTCTTGAGTGACGACGCACTGTACAATTGCTTCCTTCTAGTTGAGAAATTGCTACTCGAGGGCCAGTCATTACGTGACCACGTGGTCTTAGGTACGTGCCTCAAAGAGAAGTGATGCTGTACTCTGTATAAGTGCAAATTAACTATAATGCTGACCAGCCACTCGTAGCGGAAGGATCCAAATTTCAACCACAGATCGGAGGTTCAAAATCCCTACTAGTGAAATGCGCGATGCAGTCTGCTTACGTTCAGGTCTGAGCCCACCAATACACACTCAGGGGAAGATATGGGATATAAGACAGATTCCTAAAGACACTAGTTTCCGTTTCGCATTGTTGACAAATGGTATCGCTATTAGTGCCATACGCTACTTCATTTGGCACATGACAAGGTGAAAGCATATTGGTAGCCGCTGCTTAGTAAATGTTAATTGCTCGACCAGTGAGTAGATGAGAGAACTTCCATGCATGAGTCCGTAGGATCCGGCCTTTTAGAGCTGACAATTGGAGTTTAACAAACATGTAGATTGTTGAAATTCTTGAAAGCCATCTGCCCATCAATCGAGTAGTGTCGAAGTCATATGCATCCATGTTTAATACTGAACAGTAAAACAAAAAGAAGTATTCATTTTATCCATGAAAATTCGAGGTAAACTCCCCATATATTCATATCCAGAAGCGATGCCAACGTAGGCCATACTGCCAAGATCCACAGGCATGATTCATAATCTGTGTTCTAGAATAATGACATGACTGGTCTCTGCGGGATCGCTTGTACATCTACGCTTCAGTTTTTTTCCGTGAGTCAATCGATATCCCCTTCCTGGTTGATTTTTCGTTGCTTTTCAAGTGGAAAATAACTGGCCTTGTGTACTACCAGAATATCCCGGCTAAATAGCCGAAGCCTTTAAAAAGCCTCATTTCTCGCGAACACAATTGCTTCTTTGTGGGTATAGCTCACTGAGTTTGAAATTACCCATTTCAAATGTGCAGTAACGTTGTATATTCATGCCCGGGGAATGAGAGGATGGCAATCAATTTGTATATGGTTCATTGTCGATGGGTGCTTGTTTGAGCACAGTACAGTAGGTGAATTACAGACGAGCCAGGAGCTGTGGAGCCAAAAGTCACGTCCCAGTGGCCAACGTCAAAGACGACGCAAATCAACTCTGGCCCTACTTCGGAACAGCAAGGTAACACTGTTAAATCTTACGGAAAGCTGTTTGATCCATCACCTGGAAACGAAGGGATTCGCTTAGGTTGACAGTACATGGAGTAAGACATGAAAGCCAAATCCTAATGCTAGTGACTACATTAGGCATAATCTGGGACACAGTGGTTCCTGCTCCCCAAAAATAATAAACCGGCGGCAGCATTCAACGGTGAGATAGAGAACGCACGCTGTTTTGAGGGCGCTTTTTATCGGCTAACCAGGTCTGAGGGAGGACAGTAGTGTTTAGTGAGCTTACCCAAACCACCATCTACAATACTGTATCGCAAGTCACTACGCCCAGATGCCAACGATGACTTACGAATCACGTCAGTTTGCTCTCGACTTCCAAGAATCATTAATAAAGTCGAAAGCAGAAGGATGAAGTTGTTTGATCAAACTGAGAAGGAAAGTCACTCGATATGACGGACAACTTAAGAGGAAACAAAGACTGTTTAAAGGCCGCCAACACTCTGAAACCAAAAGGCTTGATCTTAGGTTCAATCCATCTATTCCAGTAATTTAGGAAAATACTGATCGATGAAGCACATTTATGAAGGTGATGGTATCTCAGTCGAAAGAGTTGGATTTCTGGAGCACGGAAGTGAAATTTTCGCTTCTCATTGTAAGCCTCCGATGATTGATGTTTTACTTTCTGCCGTGCAGTAGCAGTGCACAAAATGTGCATGAAAGCTGAGCAATTCACCCAAATGGGCAGTTACAACAACCCCGGTGCTTTGAACAAAGTGATATTACCATTCCAAAAGGCAAGACCAATAATGCCTTGATCACCCTGAGCCTGGGTTATTCGTGAGAGCGAAAGACATCGGAAGTCTATAATTTTGTCGATCTCTGTGACTCCGAATTGACGGAAAAGCTGTCAAATGGTAGTCACATGTGAGACTAGCTGCCGACACTCCAAATACTGGACTTTTGATTTTCATCTACATTGGTCAAATGCCGGTTGCTTCCAAAGCACATTTTTGTGAGCTCGAAGGGCATCTACGGGACACCCGGTAAATCTCTAGTACTAACCGCTTAGTCATGTGTCTGATGACGTCCTGGTGCTCTGTTTATCTTGAAATCATTCCTAACCCTTCTCTCAATACAACATCAGGACCCACAGTCTAAGAGTAGTCATCAATGAAGTTGTACTTTTTTGTTCGTAGTTATCGTCTTCCAGTGCTTTCTTCCTCCTTAAAAGCCATCGGTCACCGAACAAAGAATACATGGCTGTTCACAATGAAGGTAATTCTGAACCGCACCGAGTAATGAAGACCTATAAACAAAATGTCTTCTTAAAGTAGCAGTAAAACTACAAGATGGAGGACAAAGCCTTTGTAACTGAACTATCTGTATCAGCCCATTGTACAAGATAGAGAGTTTCCCTTAACATAAGTCACCGCCAGGAAATAGCCTATTTGGCTTCTACGGAGGGTTCCTTCCTCGTCGGAAGCACTGGTTAGTATTGGTAAGATAGTGATAAGCCAATACGAGCCGCGTGCATCCATCCGTTTTTGTCATCTAATTGTTTTATGTAGGTCATTGAGTAGCCATGATTGTTTCGAGCTTCTTAAGCTACGTATTCCCGCCTAATACGTCAGCTTTTATACAACCTGACAAAAAACCTTTAAGAGAGTCGTGTGCGTGAAAATATTCAGTTATCCCCTGAGGGCAGCTATCCCCATATTTTTCATATTACTAAGATGTATTTGATTCAAAATCACTTCTACTTACTGAGGTCTCAGCTCCTGGAGGCATATTAATGCTTAACGTACGTGCTCAACGACTTGTCTCTATGCTCCGGAAACAGCTTTATGGACCTCTGTGATACTGTGGCCCATTGGACTATGCAAATTGTCATGCTATGTTCTGTCAAGGCTCCATGTCGCAAATGGTTTCCAGTGCAGCAGATTCAGCGCATCTGCAATATTCGAAAGCCTTTCTTCCACATTCGAATTACAATGCACCTTGTGTAGGTCTGCTTGTATCTTGTTAAGGGGTAAATTAAAAATCCTAAAAGCGAATCGTCTGACTCACATGTGACTAGCTTGAATAACCCTGGTTTGTTGAAGAAAGGAACTGAGCCTATCCATGAATAAACTGTCTCTCGCAACCAACAAACGGATTGTGGCATTGCTCTAGCTTTACAAAAAAGGTGACGAAATCCTGGCGCTGTTTTCATGAAAGGCAAACTTAAACTGGCAGTAGGATTTCAACTCTGAGTGTCGGTCGAAAGTCATTTTAAACCGGATTCTAACGGTAGGACTAGTGCTTTTACAGTGACCTGTCCTTTAAAAACGGATGGATCGACCAGAAGATCTTCAGAGACTCAGATGATTGCTCATTACTGGAGATCTGTAAGGTCCAAAGTATTCGAAGCTGGTGAATTTCGACAATCGGTTTGGACATGTTGAGCTCCTAGCAGCCTATGATCATCGGTTGCTATCTTGAAACCAATCACACAGGAAATTGGCAATGATGTGATCAGAAATAACTGGAGGTGGCTGAACCTTTTGAAACGAAAAAATGAGAAAAAAACGTGCGTAGAGTATAGAGGCACCGTTTTCCAAAGCTCCTCTATGAACATTCTGTGTGTCTTGAGCTCTTGGGGGAAATTTCCACATAACGCTTTGGAAAGGGTTTTCAAATATTTGTTTGTCCAATGTAACAAGATGTCAGTTTCGCGCTGAGGAACTGAGGTTACAAAGAAATCAGCGGGATAATTGTAAGCGGTCCATTTCGTCGACTTTGTGATAACTTCTCTGTTTACACTATTTCGCCTAGTCACCGGAACTCACGTGCTCTCAAATGTGCTGAGAATGTAGAAGTCAGCCGTTCCTAGCTATTATGATGTACAAAATTTTCTACGTAACCTTAAAATGTTTACACACAGCATACGTGCTGTTTCAACTGAGTGCACTGTTGATCTGTAACTGCGTGACTTCTCCGTTTTTCGTGGGGATTATGAAAATACGTTTTCTAGCTATTGGTAGCTTGGTACAGATACGTTCATACGAAGTATATAGATCATCCAGTATACAGTAAGTATATAGTATGTACAGTATAGTATACATATACTGTATATATAGTATATATGGTGCAGTATAGATAGTATATATAGTATATAGTTGTTTTAAATAGATCGAGGTTGATGAAGAACGCTGCCACAGACTTTAGCGAGAAGCAGCCTTTTTGGGAGGCTCTCTCTTCAACCATGAGTCACTGCATATTTCAGTCCCAAGGAAAACAAGGAGCCCTTCTTGCACTTAGTACCAATTCACAGCTAACTGACTCCCGGTATAAATGTATATTTAAATATACATGGTAAAGTATCTTGTTCGAAGCTTCATGTTACCGACCAAAAATCAGCTGGTTTCAATGATATTTAAAAGGGGGTACTAGTGCAAATTATTCGTGATCCAAGATGCTCCATCAAAGGACTCCTACAGAAATCAGCAAGGAAGGGGAATTTACGGCTTCGGGTCTAAATTTGGGAGATTAATTGGTGAGGAACAGATTGTCCAAAAGTCTCTTGAATATGCTCGTAAAAAAGCCAAAAGCCAAGAGTAATGATACATACCAAAAATTCCAATATTTCGTTAACAACACGTATGGATAGCATGTTTCCACAGAAATAGTCAATAAACGGAAGAATATTTGTGTAGAAAAGTAACTTTGCACAGTCCCGTTCAAACGATACGATGAGTGAGGAACTCACCCCCGGACTGTAATGGACCCTTCGTTTTCCAGTGATTGCCCATCTTGGGGAGAGCAAATCGCCGACTGAACCGGGTAGTCAAGGATGGCTGGTATGCGTCTGTAATCCGGACACTCGTTTCCCCCCAAGACGTAGCCGAGCTTATAATCCGTCTGCTGATAGTAACTCTGACTCTCCTCGTTTGACAGTGTAATCTGCAGAAACGTTGTACGAAGTCATCACACCAAATGGTCTACGTAAAGCACTCTGGGTTCAATAATTGATTGGCAATGTTGCACTAGATACTGTTTGATGATGACTGTACTAGTGACCTATCAAGTAGACGTAGATTGTGAGGGCTTAAACGGTACTAGTTTGTGACATCCCCCCAGAAAGGATGCTAAAGCATAGAAAATTGATCCACTAAGTACTTGGTGGCTATCGACGCGTAGGCTGGGAGAAGTGCCATTTTTGTGAGAAGTACAGGACTGAAAAAATTCAAACAAAGCAAATATCTTATTTGCTTGAATTTTCCTCATTCAAAGACAAGGGGAAGATGAGCGATCTACCACCTGAAATGTCGGAAGAGTTATCTCCCCACAAAGATCCACAGCTTTCGAACCCCAAGGATAATTAAAATAGCCTCTATTGCATGCTCACACTGTGACAGCAGCAAAAATGGGGTGAACCCAGAAAAATGTTCAAGAGAAAATTGCCTGAACAGACATTAATCTCATGGGCAGTCTCGCTCAGAATAGAAAGCCACTACAACATCTCGAATATTGGCCCTCAGGTCGCTACGCAGCATAATCGGTTGCAGAACATTTTACACGACTGATATACTGGAACCCGTCTTCATACCGACCGAGTACACCAGTGACTTATAGGCCTATTTCGAGCCCGAATGTCTGACCCATGACGTTGATTTCTTACAGCAAAACATGTTGGTCTAGGCTGTAGTTTACTAACATGTAAATTCGTTTCAACCAGCACACTTATGAAGATAATTCATTTAACTGAGGTCTATCAAGTTATCTAATGGTGCCAATGGGTATAGAATATATTAGAAGACTTAAATCTCATACAGGAATCAAAGGACAAGAGAGTAAATGCTTCGAAAACGTAGGCACATTCGTACAAACAAATCCACTACATTAAGCAAGTGGTCTCAGGGAAGCATTTTGAAAGAGTCTTGTAATGTTTGTAGATAGTTTATTTAAATGGGATACATGCGACAAAATAAGGGATGCAGATTTTGGTTAGGTGTTTGGATAGAATAACCAGTAAGATTGCTGATTCCATGGATTTGGCTTATCCAGGCTGAAGTAGGTGTCCAGAGTAACTCTATAGGCCATCCAGTGACGGGATTTACGTTACCACCTCAACTTCCAGGTAGTAAGGCCATAAACTCAGTTTCCGAATTAAAGACTGTCAATTTTGAAGGTTGAACAAGCTTATAAGAGGTCAAGATGAACTTAACAGAGCGTTGCACAGCAGACAGAGAATACCCAACTGACTAGCGGACTACGGATCTGACCTACTCATCTGTGTGTGCTGAAGACGGTTCATGCCGTAGGATAAAGGCTAGTTGGGGCTGCACTCCTTCCCGAATAGCTCATTTGATGTTCAGCATTGCAACGCGTTGCTTCTCAAGGCTCATTAGATGGGCTAGGTCCTCCAACACGTCGAATGAAAGCTGAGGAATTTCTCATGAGCGGAATTTTGGGTGCCCCTCAATTTTAACACCGCTCTCCAACTAACCACATACAAGTCGCTTTAGGACGCGAGTTTACGTCATTTGCTTCAGTTGGCCTAACCGATGGAGCTGAGTTTACATTAGACTGCATTCAACTCCAACAAATTTGTTGTTCGAAGGACTATGGCGTTCCGGATGCGTTCATTCGATCTGATCTTGCGCAGATAGTGCACACGAAACCAGTCAAGAACCCCAGTAAGCTGGTATCTATGTGGCAGTCAGTAGTAAAAAGAGCACAATAGCCCAGTGCACTGCAATCCTGGTATCTATACGCGAGTGACGGTTGCTTCTGACACGTTTCTCAAAACGATCAAATGCCATACTGGCTTTTACCATTCGTACGTCCATTTCCATGCCAAGAATCATGTCCTCGAATAGTGAGTTGTCAGGATATCGGCAGTACGTGCAGCACGCTACCTCAAAACACTTAGCAGAATACGTGGTATTTTATCTGGATTCCCGATTCAGGCTGATAAAAAACAAACGCTTTAGGAATATTTATGTCTCAGCCAGTGTGATACCACGGAAACAGATGCCGTAGTCAGCCCCTGCGATTTCGCCCCGGACTGTCTAAATAAGGCTCAGTGGCCCGTAAAGAACAACATGCGGACAGTGAAATTGCACAGTACTATTTTGGCCAGAAAACTCTCCGAGTTGCACACCATCATAATGGCAGGCGCCTCTGCGTAGATGGCTGGTAGACAGAGACTCGGCGGGACTAGGGGAGCACAGCCCAAATTCACTTTGGTACATATAAAAAATCGTCCAGGATAGATTAGCAGGTGCGCACCCAAGCTTTTGTCTCGGTATGAAAGAGTTCCCTGAGGCCAACAAATTTGTCTGGACAACCAGGCTTTTGTAGGACGATCTATAGGACTTTTTTGCTGACTGAGTCGAGGAGTTCTGTGAAATCCACAAGCAGCTAATAAAGTGGGGGATATCACTCACAACACTTTTGCTGAGTTTGCCTTGAGGCGAAATTTGGGTCGGAACCTTCGAAACCCACAATTGTTCTCAGAAATGTTTTCCTCCAAAATGCCAGCGGCTAGAAACTGAGCAGGATATGATGCACAGGAAAATGACTTCTTGGTAGTTATACGCCTTTCCATTTATACAGGACAATTAGCTTTTTATCTTTTCAAGCCCCAAAATCCTGCATGGTAGGTATGGAATTCCATTTTGCAATGTCTTCCCGGTCTGAAAAATTCCACGGAAAGAACAGCCAAGTCCTGCTGCTCTCCCCTCGTGTCCATGATGCGACAGTTTTCCCAGTGTGACTCACACTTCAGGACGTACCAGGTAGTGATCCAGTGGATTCAGCACCATGTGTCACTTTTGTGATCAGTACGCAATTAAGATTTTCATGCCGAACAGTGATACATTGATATATTGATATTGGATAAACCAGATCCTAAGACATGCTGGTCGTCATCGAGTTCAAATGCCGCACACATTACTAATGGTCCTTCGCCATTGTCGTTCATTAATCTGATACCATTATCTTCTCCCAAGTCCCCACATTCTTACCAACCTGAGGGATGATGTTGCCAGCATGTGTGCGACGCTAACCAGAACTAAGAATAGGCCGTAGAAATTGTACCATTGTTTATGTGTGACAATGGGGATGAACAATAGCCGACAAATGCCGCAAACCTTGACTTTGACAGCTGGAATATACTGCCAATCACCCGCCGATTGGTGCAGTTCAATCGATCCATCGTTCTGATTCATGTGTTCACAACCTTGAATCTGACACCGACTTTCTTGCGTTGTTCCATTCCACTAAAAGATATAACCAGAGCCAACCACCTGTAGGTTTCCTAGGTCAGGTAGCGTGGCCTCACTGAGTACACCGAGGTCTATCCTGTGGGGTTTGAGTTCTTGTGCAACAAGAGCGATTTTCAGGCTTGCCAGCTCCATCCGTATCCCGTAGAGTCTTCATGTTCCAGGTTCCAAGTCACAGAGAACGTGTCCTATTTCCCTGTACGGTCTGCGCCATGTGCGGAGGAATTCCTTCTGACTGCCACACCTGGAAATAAGGGCCTGTTTTTGATACTCACGACAGTGTGAGTTCGTTCAAGCCCGAGGGCAAAAGTAGTAAGCCATAAAACTCTGGCTCTTAATACCACTAATCACAAAAGTTGCTTTTGTACGGTACCAACCTCTTGACGTTTGAAACTACTTCGGCTGTATTGGTCTTGATCAACCGCTGGGCGATTGCAGTGTGTAATTGTAAAGCCTTTCCTGATCCCTCGTTCCACACGCGCCTCATCTTCCGGGGGGAGGCAGCACTACAGCTTCCACGACTATGAAGATCCTGGTCTCCTGGGAGAAGCGTCTCACTGTTCTCACATCTCTGTCACTTCAAACAGCACCACTTTACTACCAGACCATCTCATAACACTATTTGCCGCAGAACAAAGACCCTCTGCTCTTCGTCGGAGTGACAAAGATCATATATATATA